TGCACTATCTTTAAAATATTGATTTCTTAATTTTGGGTTGGAAAAGTGGGGGTCGTCTTGTACATGTCTTATTGACGGAAAATACAGTACCTTCCGTGGCTTCCGCCAATGACAACAGTACGGCTTTGCAAAGCATTCGAAAGGGATGTCTTGCAAAACACAATGGACCAGAAAGTGTTAAAGCAACTGCTTTAAAGGCTTTCATCCAATTGCTTACATTTATAGCTGTGCATCAAACAACCTTCCCCTGGGACCTCAAGCGAAGCAGAGCAGCACACAACACTTCTGCAATCCAGTGAGAGGGCTGTACATGCACACACCAAGAGAATGGGAAAGACTTGAAGCAGCTGCATCAAGGACACAGCTGCTTTTATGCTTCAAGAGCTGCTTTGCTCCTGCCCTCTAAGAGGCTTCATAAGTCAATTTTTAAAACAGTATCTAGAAAATGTCCTTAAACGTCCCACAAAACATTCTTTATACCAAAGTAATCCAGATTTTTTCCTAAGTATTACAGAAGCAAAGGAACTGCCAAACCATACCACCTTAGAAACACATTTAAAAAGAGTTACAGGTAGTCCTTGACTTAAAACCATTTGTTGAGCAACCGTTCAGTTACAACAGCACTGAAAAAAGTGACTTGCAACCAGTCCTTGTGCTTACAACCGTTACAGTGTCCCCATAGTCACATGATCATGATTCAGATGCTTGGCAACCATTGCGCATTTACAATGGTTGCAGCCTCCTACAGTCACGATTGTCATTTGCGATCTTCCCAGCCGGCTTCCAAAAAGCAAAGTGAATGGGGAAGCCAGCAGGGAAGGTTGCAAGTTGTGGTCACATGATGTCTTGCTTAATAACCGCGGTGATTCACTTAATGACCATACAGTGGGGCAAAAAAGTATTTTAGTCAAAGTAATTGTGCAAGTTCTCCCACTTAAAAAGATGAGAGAGGCCTGTAATTTTCATCATAGGTATACCTCAACTATGAGAGACAAAATGGGGGAAAAAAT